TACAGTCTTTGATTCTTCTTCTGCAAATAATATGAGTTGTGACGGGAAAAGCAGCGCGGTTTTCGGCGATCCACAGAGTCAATACCATTACGGGACGTTTCAGGGCGTCGCAAACTATTATTCTTCCGCCCCACAACCGCAGCCGCAGCCTCATCCCCAATCTGTCGTCGGTTTCCCTCCGCAGGTTGCGCCGCCTCGCCATCCATGTTACCATGGACATTTGGATTACCAAGCCGTTCCAGGTAAATAGATCCCCTCGTCGACGTTCTTTTTATCACGTTCATAGATTTGGAGGATTTTATAAATGGTATGATTTCTGGTAGATTGATGACGAATTTAGAATCTAAAGGTCAATATCATGGTTCATCCTAGAAGTTTGTGCAGAATTTTTGCTTAAATATTATTATTTGAGGGGCATATACGAATTGTCTGCTTTATTTAGGCATTGATGGTGTTTCGTATGGTCTTCACCAATGATCATGACGAGTTTACTATGTTACTTCTCTCCACATATTAGCATCCGTTGGATTGATGGGTATTAAATGCGTTTCTGATGCTCATTAATGTGGTTTATAATTGACTTGCTTTATCTGATGTTTCGGCTGGGGTACTGATTCACTGGTATGAATGTGAATAATATCCGATGTTTAGTTTGATTAGTGTCTTCTAATAATGTCCTGGACGTGAGAAATAAGGTCGAAAATTATGCACAGGGTTAATTGGGCAGCTTTCTAGCTTACCAGTTGGGACTCTTGACATAATTTACCTAAAGAAGAAATATAGGCGTAGGTAATGTTGAATGTTTCAACAGCTAACTCATTGATGATCTAGCCAGCTATGCAACAAGATCTTAACCCCGAGTTTGTATCTGGCATGTGGTGTTTTCTTTGGGAACAAGAAACCTTCTTATCGCATGAGGACTTGTTAGAGGGAAAGGAGGAAGAGAGATTGGGAAGGCTACTCTATTTGTCATGGAGATTAAAGGAAACTTCTGATCGGCTTGAGTTTAAATATGAGAACAATTACAGAACTCTATACTTTGAGGTTACCTGTACTACCTAGCTTCCAAAACCAAGAGTGCTGCCCTAAGAATCCAAAACCTCATTGAACTTAATTGTTCTAATGGTCCCTTTCATTCCACATCCCAATTCTTCCATATTATTGATAACATGAAATTCTCCTGAAAAGTTGGGAGAAGAGTGGTTTCTTGGGCATGCATAATCAGTTTTTTTATGTGTCTAAGACGTCTAGGAAAGTATTCTAGGAGATAGAGAAGTTTCTAAGGGACTTTCTGAAGACAGTATCTCTTGAGCTGGAGGTCAGTCTGGATGTTACTAGAGCCATTTAATGGAATGTCTCATTAGAGAGAACGGAAGAGCCTTTTTAATTGAGGAAACGATAGTGGGAAAATTTTAGTTTTTGTTTCCTTCTCATGGAGCGCCGTTTTTAGGTCTTCTGGAATTATACTCTTGCCATGGTTTGTGCGAATGGGGGAGTTTCTTGTGTTTTTCCCCCTATTAACCTTTCCAACTTTTGTGGCTTGTTGGCCCTTGCCTTGTAATGATGGCCCAAAGGCAGCTGGATAGTAAAATCCCATGTATTATTTAGTGAGGGCCCGTTGGAAATTAAAAGCACTTGAGAAGTTCCATTACCACCTTTCGGAAAACTCACACATCGTGAGGAGCTGTATCCTGATCTTCATTACTGTACTTTCATCACATGTAATGTGCACTAATGAACATAAATACTCGAACCTGAATTTCTTTTCGGGTGTTAGCTTTTCGATGCAGCAGAGACAATACTTACAACTTAATCTTCTTTGGACCACTCTTATTTCAAAAGCCTTTTGGCCATCACCCAATGAGATTACGTCACTGATATACCTAATTCTTTCTTAAAGGATTGCTTAGAATTTGTTTATTCTGAAAGAAATTGTCGTGATATTTCTTTGAGGACTGTAGCTGTGCAATGCTCCCAATTCACCGAATCAGTGATAATAAGATTCTGTAATTCAGTTGCTTAATTTATTGAGGTTAATTAAATAGGGCGTTGAAAGTTGAATGCTTGAATTTATTGCAACATTATCAATCGTGTCATCTAAGTTAAATCCATAATGCAGCATACAAATTCGTTTGGAGTGATAGTTATGAACTGTGTTTTAGCATGTCAATTAGGCAGGTTGTCTGCACGATAATCTATTTCTCGTGCTTCCAGGAAAAGCCTTACAACATATGTCTATCGTGTCGCCTAATGATTTGGTTAGCTCATGTAAAACCTATACAAGCGTCCATTTTAACCAGTTGGCAAATTTCGTTTGTAGAGTGATAGTTATGAACTGTGTTATGAACTTTTAAATATGGCTTGGGCATGTCAATTAGACAGGATGTCTGCTCGATAATATCTATTTCTCATGCTTCCAGGAAACATTACAACATGTATGTATCGTGTCACCTCATGATTTGGTATGCCATGCTAAATCTATTCAGGCATCTATTTTTTAATATTCGAATGAAATAAATTTCAAAAAAACTACAAATCTAATTTGGTCAGCCATGCATGTGTTTATTTGTGGTTGTGTAGTTGCATGAATTTGTATCTTTATGCAGTTATCCTAAATGGTAGTGATGTTTTCATCCATCATACGCTTTAATGCTTTTTGTTTCTTGTAGTTCAAGGCTATGCTATTATTGAGGGAAGACCTTTTCACGAAGCCCGTCTTCCTTGTTGTGGCATTGGCATGGGTTGGTTCTTGTAAGTTAATATTTGTGACACCCCATTTCTCTACACTCGTTCCCAACATGTCGATGGTTAAGAAAATCATTGTTTTTCCAGGTTTATGATTGGCTTCTTTCTGGGTGGCATTCCCTGGTACGTTGGAGCTTTTGTCGTACTCTTTGTACGGGTGGATTATCGAGAAAAACCTGGATATATTGCATGTGCAATTGCTGTAAGTAGCTATTATACGAATGTGTTTTATCATTACCTATCCTCAAAATTGTGCTTTCTCGCCCATCTTCAAAAATATTAATAATAATGACAATACTTCAAGTGGTAGTCAAAATGATGAAGGTTTGGGATGTTTTGAGACCTCCTCTTAAAGTATTAGGTTCTAGCCCGAATTTGATCCAAATTTCTCTTTTTTGAGAATTGGTAGGATCTCACAGAAATAATCACTTATAAGGGTGTGGAAACCTCTCCGTAACAGACGTGTTTTAAAATCTTGAGAGGAAGTCTAGAAGAGAAAGCACAAAGAGAACAATATTTTCTAGCAGTGGGCTTAGGCGGTTACAAATGGTATCAGAGCCAGACATCGAATGGTGTGCCAACAAGGACGCTGGCCCCAAGGGGGTAGATTGTGAGATCCCACATCGATTGGAGAGGAGAACGAAACATTGCTTATACAGGTGTGGAAACCTCTCCCAAGCAAACGCATTTTAAAACCTTGATGGGAAGTCTGGAAGAAAAGTTCATAGAGGACAATTTTTACTAGTAGTAGGCTTGTGCTGTTACGGTTCCTCTTAGCGCTGATGTTGAAGTGGGTGAAGCCACCCAATAACTAGTGGAGGGTGGGCAATGAGCATTTTATGTGAGGAGTTGAGCATCCAACCCTTCACTTCAAAACACTAATAACTAAAAACCTGAAAATGGACCCAAAATTTATCCTCTTGGTGGAAGTTCTGTGCCATTCTGACTGTGTGCTGCTAGGGTGTTATGATCTCCATCTACTCGTTTTGAAATTGTGCTTCATTTTTCCTTTGCTCAGTCAGTTCTTGCCGTCATGGCCATAACATTTGGTGTCTCCAAAGGAGTTGAGATCTGGTGAAGTAGACATATGCAGAATGGTGTAGCCATATTGCCCCTTGCATCAAGGGAAACAACTGGTGGGGTATTGTAATTAGCTTTGAAATTGTATTTCCTTCAATTCTATCCATCTATCAACTTATTGGTTTCCTTCACAATGTACTGAAATCTTCCTGACTTGGCCAAATGTTAAGCAAAATGTTAATAGATTGAAGAATGTGTTAGCTTTTATTGGAAGACTTTTTCTATTTTATTTTGATATAAATAGCTCTAATAGTAAGGGCGGATTTGCAATATTCCCATTGTTACCAAACAACGGTCGGATCTTGGAATATGAAATCTTAGAATAGATAAGAATTACCCACTTTTCAACCAGATGATTGAGTTTGAATATATTTTTGCAAGGAGCGATTCTTATCTAAAAGAATCACAAAGTGACATATAAAAGAAGATGACTTCATCCCAGCATCAAGTTTTGGAAAGAATTCATCCCAGCATCAAGTTCTGGAAAGAATTAATAACAATGTCTTAAGTTGGGGAATAATCTGTGTTGAGATGGAGCATATTCTTATTCTGTGATAACATTTTCACCTCTTTTTTAAATATATTATATAAAAAAATATTCCTTTTAATTGACAAAACCGCTTCAATACGATTGTCTGAGCATTATATTTACAAAAATTCTCCAATTTTATTACAGCTTCCTCCAAAAAAAAAAAAAAAAAATTTGTATTTTCCTCTTATTGAATCTCGAGTAAAATTTTCAAAGGTATTAAAAAATATCACATCAATTTTCCCATATTTTTAAAAAAGATATCCGGAAAAGCTTCCAAAATCCCAAATGGTATCACATTTGCAGAAAGATTTATTTATTTTAACCTCTATGATATTTAAATAATTACTAATTTTGACTAATATCGTTATTTTATAATTCTTAATGATAAATAAATAAATAAATAAACAGAAATCTGCAATTGCATGAGATTTTCTTTATAGATAAGTAACAAGTTGCCCTAAATTCACGTGCCTCTGTGTCTTCTTTAAACAAAGCTATTCAATTTTTTTAATTCCAACAATTAATTATCCTCTCGCTGTCCCCTATGCTACCCACTTCCTCGCCGTCCGATCCCCATCTCGATCATGAAATTTCCATCCAACGGTGGGACCCGCTTCAGCGCATCATGCCTCTCTCTGTTGTGGCATTACGAGATTGTCAATTTGTCTGTGAAGCCATGGCAGAGAAAGGATCCATAAAGTGGGAGATCAGTGTGTGAAAAATCAGAGAGAGGCGAAATTTCCGGTGCGATGGGTTTCACAATGGGCTTGAATTTGCTTCTTCTCGTGGCAATGGTGGCCACCAACATTCTCTCTCTTTACCATCTTTCCTCTACGCTTCAATCCCAAAAATCCCCTGTTTCACAGCCGGTTCCAGATCACCTAATCCGGCAGCTTCAGACCATACGCGCCACCATCAACCACCTCACGCGCCTCCACCCTAAGGCGGCAGCCTCCATATCTAAAACCAAAGTCTCTATCCCTTCAGATCTCGTTCTGTACTCTCAGTTCTCCCCAATTGCCTCATCTTGCCATAGTAACCCTGAGCTTCTTCATAGGTTTATGAATTACACTCCGTTTTCGAGTTGCCCTTCTGATTCTGATCTCGCTGAGGCTTTGATTCTTCGTGGGTGTCATCCACTTCCTCGTCGGCGGTGCTTTGCCAACACCCCACAAAAACCCTCTTCTTCTTTGCCTCAAAATCCCTTCGGTTCTTCACTTCCGGAGTCCAATATTATTTGGGGGAAATATTCGTGTAAGGGATTTGGGTGTTTGAATCGACTGAATCCAAACCTGGGGTTTGATCCTTCTCATGAAATCACCAAGTTTATGTCCTTTAAGACCGAATTGGACCTCCCAATCCCTCAATTGCTACAGATTGCGAAGGCGGCTAACTCTGTTATTCGTCTTGGACTTGATATTGGCGGTGGAACCGCCACTTTTGCTGCTAGAATGAAGCTCTACAATGTCACTATGGTCACTACCACTATGAACCTTGGCGCGCCGTACAATGAGGTTGCGGCGCTTAGGGGATTGGTGCCTTTGCACGTGCCGCTTCAGCAGCGGTTGCCCATTTTTGATGGAGTGATGGATCTGGTTCGGTGTGGCCATGCTGTGAACCGGTGGATTCCTGTGAAATCGATGGAGTTTTTGTTCTATGATGTGGATAGAGTGTTGAGAGTTGGGGGTTACCTTTGGTTTGATCATTTCTTCAGCAAAGGGGTGGATCTTGATAAAGTTTACTCTCCTTTGATCACCAAGTTGGGGTACCGGAAGGTCAAGTGGGCGACGGCGAGTAAGACCGACTCCGGCGGGTTGAAGAACGGAGAGGTTTACTTGACGGCGTTGCTGCAGAAGCCAATGCCAGCATGAGGTAATGTTGCTTCCTCTACTAGGGGTGTTGTTTTTTGTTCTGCATTTTTGTGTTGGAATGAATGAGACATGATTTGATCTCATAGCTTGTAGAGGTTGTGTTGTGAGCTATGCAATGAATTTGGGAGTGTGTTCTTGAGAGAAGTGGAAGAAACAGGGTAGATCTTGATTAAACATCTTAGGGAAACTTGGTATATGATCGAAAAGTTAATGATTTGGTCTAATACATTCGATTCTAGCCATGTTTATCTGTGTCATAGCATGTCTTGGAGCTTTATCTAGCCATTGTTGGTAGTACTAAAAACTTCATTTTAGGAGCAGGGTTTAGGCTGATCCTGTCTTCTCTGTAGCATTCCTACGTTTGTTTGTTTTCAAATAGATTAATGGAAGGCAAAGGAACTGTTAGTTTCCTTGGTTATCGTGAGATCCCATATTGGTTGGAGAGGTGAACGAACCATTCTTTATAAAGACGTGGAAACCTCTCTCTCATAGACACGTTTTAAAAACCTTGAGGGGAAGCTCGGAAGAGAAAGCCCAAAAAGGACAATATCTGCTAGTGGTGGGTTTGAGCTATTATAAATGGTATCAGAGCTGGATACCGGTGTGCAAGCGAGGACGCTGGTGCTCAAGGAGGGTGGGGATTGTAAGATCCCACATAGGTTGGAGAGAGGAACGAAACATTCTTTTTAAAGGGTGTGGAAACATCTCTTTAACAAATATGTTTTAAAAAACTTGAGGGGAAAACTCAAAGAGGACAATACCCGGAAGGACAACCCATTTTATTCGGGATCGTCTTGATCGATAACCAGAGATTGAATCGAGAAGCCATGGATCTCTGTCATTATCTCTTTTTCACAGTGCTTAGGCAATTCATAACGTTCTCGTTCCGTGTTTCTCGTTGACACATGTTTTGGGAAGGAATTTTTTGTTTCTCTTGTTCATAATTTCTCAAAACATAAGGATCTTGATGTTTCTATTGTGTTTTTAGCTCAAAAGCTGTATATATTACCCAACTGATTCTTGGATTGAGTCTGTTATGAGTTCAAAATCTCTTAATTGGAGTTAGAAATTAATAGGATCAGTGGTTTGATTATTTCCAAGACTGTTGATCTCATAACCTGACAGAGATCCATAAATTTTGAAACCATTGGCACAGGCAGTAGCAGCAGACAACCTGCGGCTTGGATCATACGAGGAAGAAGCAATTATTTAATGAAACAGTGTGTAAGAAGATGGGATTTTACATGAAAACTCAAATATTTATCCACCGCCATGGACGCCTCATCTGGCAAAGCTACTGAGTTTTTGAAGAAAAAGAAAGAAAGAAATGGTGGTGGAAGGAAGGAAGGAAGGCATCCAGAACGAATTTGTGGAAATTTATGTTTGAAATTGAAGCTTTTTGCAGACAGAAATGGTCGCTTTATTGTAGCTTCTGTCGGATTTATATTTGATTTTGTTGTGGAAATTGTTACAGACAAAATACTCAAATTATTTTTTAAACAACCAAAAATTACAATCAATCAAACCCTAATTTCACTTTGATTGATCACTGCCTAGACTTATAAAATTGTTGCAGTTGGGGTCTTAATAAATCGAAACAATATACAAATTACACCATGTGACACGTGAAGTAGGTTTTTGTCACGGTTTAAGATCATTGCTAGTAGATATTATTCGTTTTTTTCGTTACTTATCGTCGTCTGTTTTTGTTTTAAAATGTGCCCACTCACCTTTATTGTTTGATTTTAAAATCGTGAGATTGGCAGAGATACATAACAAGCTAAAGTGGATAATATTTAATAGAGGTGAACTTAAGCGGTTACAACTTTAAATTGAATATAGAAAGAAAAACTTGCATTTCACAGATTTCAAGCAACCTAGTGTGATGTCCCACATTGGTTGGGGAGGATAACAAAACACCTATTATAAAGGTGTAGAAACCTTCCCTTACCAGACACGTTTTAAAAGTCCTGAGTGTAAGCCTGAAAGAAAAAGTCCAAAGAGGACAAAATTTGCTAGCGGTGAATTTGGATCGTTACAAATGGTATCAAAGCTAGACATCGGATGATGTGCCATCCTTCTCGTTTTCCCCAAAGGAGGATAAACACGAGGCGGTGTGCCAATTAAAACGATGGGTCCTAAAGGGGGGTGAATTTGGATGTGAATTTGGTTAATATTGATTCATTCGAGATTTATCAAGTTTAAACTTAACATTGTATCATTTAAGGATTTGATTGTACGAGACATTTTGTGCATTTTCGTAATATTTAAGGACTTAATTATCAAATTTGAGTGTTAATTTATTTTTTTAAAAAAAATCAAAATTACAAAGGGGTCCAAAACATAAATATTTAAGGAAAGGAGACAAAACATTAATTATGAAAAAGTAAGGGCCTCATTTTAAATTTTAGTGAACTTTGGGGACCGGACGGAGTCGACGAAGCATTTGGAAGAGTCCTCATTTCGATTTTCGTTCTGTGGCCTCTGTCAATAACGTGAGAGAGATCCGACGGTGTTCGAATTCCCGCAGAATAATTTTTCCCGGGAAAAAAATTCACAAACCGAATGGTCAGTTTCTTTCTTCTTTTAGAATGAATGATGTCTTTGTTTCATACTTCTATTACTTATTCGTCTGATTTCGGCACTCCATTGAATCTAGCATTTAGACTTGTCTTGTACTTACTGTCTAGGATTTGCGGGAATGAACATTGATGTTAGGATTATGAAGTTTTGTTCTAGTTGACAGTTATGATCGACATATTTTTGACATTTTGTTGGTTGATGTTTTAATAGATCTGACTCCTGAGCTCATTTTAACAATGTGTTCGTAGGCACGGATAGATCTTTGAACTTGGTTGATTCGTATTTTAGTCTTTGCTTGGATAGATCTTGTTACTTTCGTCGGAAGATTTGAATTGACTCGTGCATTACTTCCTTCGTATGGAGTTTGTGATTTGTCTACGAATCTAGCCGATGACCGCAGGATTTTTATCTTTTGCTTAGACAAATCTTAATTTAAAATTAATCGCACTTGATGGTCCTTTGTACTTCGATTAAAGATTTTGGTGAAAATGCTTCTAGATCTTGATTTGTATAGCGTCGGCTCTATAACAAACTTTGTGAAGCTCTTTCAGAAGGCTTCTTAATCCCAAATTCCGATGTAGCATAATTTGCTAGTTTCTGAATGTTCTTCGTGATTAGCTTTTTATGCTTCTCAGACATGATAGCTGTGACAACAATTATTTAGGTAAAAAAAAAAAACTCTGGTGCACGATAAAGATTATTTACCTCCAGAATCCAAACATGTTTGCTTTATTCTATGCAGGAATCCTGCCCTTCCATTAAAAATATTCTTCTTTTGGATTCCGAAGGGAAGCGTGTAGCTGTCAAGTATTATTCGGATGATTGGCCTACAAATAGTGCGAAGGAAGCTTTTGAGAAAGCCGTTTTCATCAAAACTCAGAAGACAAATGCTCGAACAGAGGGTAGTTATCTTTTCATGTATTGGATATTAACTGTTTTTTTGTGAAAGTCCGTATGGCCTAATCATGTCAATTCAATTTCAATGTCATTTTAATCACAGTAAGGAAGCTTCTGAATCTTTCAATAGTCAAATTATAGTTGGTTCATCCATAGTCATTGTTTTGAGCCATGAGAATAAGAATGATTTTACAAGCACATTCTTGTGATTATTGGTTGCATCGGATAGCCATTATCTATTTTGAAAGTATATTTTGATCTCTTTCATTCTTATGAAAAAAAAGTTCCTTTTCTAAATTCTAACTCGATATTCTCTTTAAATCTGCAGCGGAGATAGCAATGTTTGAGAACAATATAGTGGTTTACAAGTTTGTTCAAGACCTTCATTTTTTTGTAACGGGTGGAGAAGATGAAAATGAGCTCATTTTAGCGTCTGTTCTTCAGGGATTTTTTGATGCAGTGGGTATTCTTCTTAGGTATTGACACTATTTATATTAATTTTGGATCCTTATGCCCTGACCCAATTCTACTGTTCTTGATCATAGTATTCTTGCATATTTATTCTCTTTTCTTGTACTCCAGGAGTAATGTAGAAAAGAAGGAGGCACTTGAGAACTTGGACCTCATTTTACTGTGTCTTGATGAAATTATCGACGGAGGGTATCTCTCATATGCTCTTTCCTTATTATCTTGATTCTCTGCATTTCAATTGTGTTGCCTGTTCTTCTATTTCCTTGCATTGATCATCATTCTTCTGTACCTTGATTGTGTCATTTTTTTTATTTATCCTCTTAATTTGATGGCCATGGCTATTTTTGCTAGACCATTGTGAACATGATAATTGAAGTATGAGTTGTAGATGATTATATACCAAGAATTTAAGTTAGTAGTAATAGTTTCATGAATATATTTGGAAAACAATTTGTTGATGAATGAGTAGTATGCTTTCATTGTGGTTGCATGACTCCTATATAATATCTAAATTATTGTCTCCTGATGAAGTACTGGCTAATTTTGACCGAGGTTTGTTGCTGGATAAGGGATTTGGGTGTTCCAATTCTCCGTTTTAACTGTGTGTGTATTGTTTACATGAGATGATGGATGAACTTCTTCCAATTATGATGATAGTGGAGATGACATTATGTAATGTGAAGCATAAATACCAAGAAACTAGAATTCTAGGTGTTGCAAATCTGAGCTACTAACTATGCTGACCGAGCGGGCTCTTCATTGTAGGTCACATGCTGTTCGTTTATTGTCATTGATAAATGTAGCAGAAAATTAATACACTAACTCTCCGTTTCAGTAGCACCCATTTGTACTTTTGTAATATGAATATAGTAGCATCCATGTTATGATATATCGCTGATGGAGCAGAGCATCTAGATTAAACTATTAGTTTTTCTTTATTTCCTTTTTAAGTGTATAAATAACCGAACAACAGAGGCTTTGAATGTATCAAGTCAAACAGATTATTTTTAATAGTGGTTATTTTAATAAAGTTATTGATTGCTTTTCTATTTGTTTTTTCCCTCTTAATTCTATCGTGAAGGGTTGTTATCACTATTATCCTTTTGTAAACGTGCAATCCAATAGTACTTAAACCTTCGTTTCACAAACCATTTTGAGGTAACTGGCGAGTGTTTTAACTGTGTGTATTTTTCAGCATTATTCTCGAGATGGATGCAAATGTGATTGCAGGGAAGGTCGCAAGCCACAGTATTGACAGTGGCGCTCCTTTGTCTGAGCAGGTACAGTACAATCTTTAAGATTCCTTTCTCTTACTTTTTTCTCCATTCCATTCTCAAGTATCTTGAAACATGTATGTCCCTCTTTTGCAGACAATAAGTCAAGCCTTGGCCACAGCTCGCGAACATCTAGCAAGATCTCTTCTAAAGTAATATGTTTTCCTCATAAATGTGAATGGCAAGGACATCCCCCACACCAGGAAAAAAAAAAAAAAAAAAAAAAAAAAA